CTCCCAGTTTAGTGACTATTGAGTAGAGATGAGCGAATCGAACTTGGCGAAGTGGAATTCGTTTCGAATATTAGGAAAAATTCGATTCGCACCGAATCCGAATTTTAGCAAACTTCGGATGCACGAATCGAATTTTTCCCGATCAGCCGGCAAAAAGTGTTTCCATTTAGGATACAGATGTTTTTATTCGGAAATAAAATAGATACAATGTTTCAACCGCTGTAAATGTGAAGGAACTGTCAGAGAACTGTCAGAAATAGCGGAGCTCTCTGCAGATACACTTTTTGCTGTACTGGAATTCTTCTTCTTTTCATTCTTCTTCTTCTTTTCATTCTTCTTCTTCTTCTCTTCATTCTTCTTCTTCTTTTCATTCTTCTTTTCATTCTTCTTCTTCTTTTCATTCTTCTTCTTCTTCTTTTCATTCTTCTTTTCATTAGATACAATCTTCTTCTTTTCATTCTTCTTCTTCTTCTTTTCATTCTGTCTTTTCATTCTTCTTCTTCTTCTTTTCATTCTTCTTCTTTTCATTCTTCTTTTCATTCTTCTCATTCTTCTTTTTTCATTCTTCTTCTTCTTCTTTTCATTCTTCTTTTCATTCTTCTCATTCTTCTTTTCATTCTTCTTTTCATTCTTCTTCTTTTCATTCTTCTTCTCATTCTTCTTCTTTTCATTCTTCTTCTCATTCTTCTTTTCATTCTTCTTCTTCTTTTTTCATTCTTCTTCTTTTCATTCTTCTTTTCATTCTTCTCATTCTTCTTTTTCTTCTTTTCATTCTTCTTCTTCTTTTCATTCTTCTTCTTCTTCTTTTCATTCTTCTTTTCATTCTTCTCATTCTTCTTTTCATTCTTCTTTTCATTCTTCTTCTTTTCATTCTTCTTCTCATTCTTCTGCTTTTCATTCTTCTTCTCATTCTTCTTTTCATTCTTCTTCTTCTTTTCATTCTTCTTCTTTTCATTCTTCTTTTCATTCTTCTCATTCTTCTTTTTCTTCTTTTCATTCTTCTTCTTCTTTTCATTCTTCTTTTCATTCTTCTTCTTTTCATTCTTCTTCTTCTTCTTTTCATTCTTCTTCTTCTTCTTTTCATTCTTCTTCTTCTTCTTTTTCATTCTTCTTCTTTTCATTCTTCTTCTTCTTTTCATTCTTCTTTTCATTCTTCTTCTTCTTCTTCTTTTCATTCTTCTTCTTCTTCTTTTCATTCTTCTTCTTTTCATTCTTTCTTTTCATTCTTCTTCTTCTTCTTTTCATTCTTCTTCTTCTTCTTTTAATTCTTCTTTTCATTCTTCTTCTTTTCATTCTTCTTCTTCTTCTTTTCATTCTTCTTTTCATTCTTCTCATTCTTCTTTTCATTCTTCTTTTCATTCTTCTTCTCATTCTTCTTTTCATTCTTCGTCTTCTTCTTTTCATTCTTCTTCTTCTTCTTCTTTTCATTCTTCTTTTCATTCTTCTTTTCATTCTTCTTCTTCTTCTTTTCATTCTTCTTTTCATTCTTCTTCTTCTTCTTTTCATTCTTCTTCTTTTTCTTTTCATTCTTTTTTCATTCTTCTTCTTCTTCTTTTCATTCTTCTTCTTCTTCTTCTTCGTCGTGCCCCGTGACTGCCCAAATGAGTGAAGTGTGCGGTGATTCTAAGATCGACGGCACTCATCTGCATGTCATACTGACTGACAGTATTATTTCTCTTCCCCAGCAGACTCCAAGGGCATTTAAATTAAAGGTACAGTGTTCTGCACTAATATAAAGGCTCTCTGAAGCCTAGAAACCCTTTTAATAAGTTAAATTCGCAGCGAATAAATTCGCATCGAATCGAATTTCTCCCGCAAATTCGGCGAATCAGCCGAATCGAATTTTTGAATAATTTGCTCATCTCTACTATTGAGGTAAGATTAGTTAAGTCCCTTATTTTCAGGGAGGTCAGAACTTAGATATAGATTTACTAAAAGCTGGCCATATCAGGGGTGGACTGACCATTTGGAATCTAGGGCACTGCCCGAGGGCTCGGGTCAGTAGGGGGCCCCATGAGATGCCCCTGGTACCTTTTTCATAGGCTTTTTTGAGTTTGGGCAAGGACACAGGGTCCCCATGATCCCCTATTGCCCGGGGGCCCCATGATCCCCTATTGCCCGGGGGCCCCATGAGTTGTCAGTCCACCCCTGGGCCATATACTTTTTTTTTTCCATTCAGCCAGTGGGCTAAAAGTAAAAAAACAAACAGATTCTGCCATCCACACAAATAAGGCGGATGGAGGACTCTGTCGCTGTCAGAATACCTTGATCAGCTGCTGTAGCTGAATGGCTGCAGTCACTGATCTAGGAAAATTCACTTTAGCAGAAGCCAATCAAACAATCAACTTCTTCAGAGATGGCCACACACTGTTCGAAATTCTGCCAGTCCCTGCTGTACCACCCAATTTTGATCACTGTATTACCAGCTTTACTCCAAGAGGGAGGAGCAGTGAAGCACAGTCTCTATGGAACACTAATGAGGAGGAAGCAGAGCTTGCAATATTTAATGAAAATTCCTAAATATTACATTTATTTAAATTATTGGTTATTGGTTATCCCAAGACCAAGGTGCAATATTGTACACATACTGATCATAGTTTCCTTGAAAGTGGGCTAAACCTTCTCCTTCCTCCTCCCAAATTGATGGGAAGTTACACTGGCCATTGGAGAGTGGACCTAGCCCTTGATTATCTTCAGAGCACCCCCGTAGTCCAGGTATGTTATAATGTAAATATAGGCTGCAGCTCCTATGGTTGGTGCCTGACTCACCACCCCTAACCCTTGAGGCTGCCCATTGCATTTGGTGACCTATAGGAAATCACAGGGATGAGCAAGGCATGTGCCATGGGAGCTATGGCCAATGATGAATAAAAGAGTGCTTGAATTTTGTGGGTTCCCCGATGATATGGGGATAAAAGTAAAATAGTGGAGTCTTTATGGATCTGGGGGACCTTGCAAGGTAGAGTGAGAACTCACGGTCACTTTAAATGCTTTTAGCTTTTAGTTTCTTTGGACGCTTTTTCTCCTGGATAAAAGCAACTTAACACATTTTTTATTTGCATTTATGCGCATTCACATGTTTGGCGTTAATGCATTCTATTGGCCAGAATATTATTTTAAATAGAAAGCATTAACATGCAAACATGAATAACACAATGCTTTTTCTGCTCAAATGCTCCCCTCCAGAACACGCTTGTGATTTTTTTTTTCACCATGTAAACAGTCCTCTTCAAATATGCCTGTAAATGCCCAAGTGTGCATGGACACATAGGCTAACCTAGAGTTGGTTTGACAGGCTGGAAGAAAAAAAATGCAAAAGGACTGTATAAGCAGCATTTTTGATGTCTAATGTGCATGAGGCCTGATGCCTCATGCCTCGTACATGTGATGAGAATATCGGACAAATGATCGTCATTTTTTTTTTGCATGCTAGTCTCCATAGCAAAAATGAAATGGTTACTCAACTTACGAAAATTCTCGTATGACTGAATAGAATTTTGGAAGTGATGTCATGTATTGTATTGTATTTTTGGATGACTATTGTACTGATTAAACGAAAATCGCACGATTTAGTATCGAACGAGAAAACTTTTGCGCTTGTCCCTTCAGTTATTGTCACATGATCTGTTGTGATTGGCTTTCGAAAGCTGTATACTAATAATCAGATCATCATACGCTCCTCTACAAAAATTTTCCTATGATTATCTTTTGGTGTGAATGAGTCTCAAGTCTGAGCTCAGTGTGGGAGTTCAGCTTCCCAAGAATGTGATATGTAATGCAAAAAAAAGAACAGGGAGATAAGGGATTCTGCAGAAGCACTACCAGAATTTGTGATTTAAATCTAAATGAGGGCTACCACCTGGAGCTTCTGGTGTATCATATACCTGTCAGTCTTGTCTAAAAAAAGAATTCTAGTTTAAAAAGAAAAGTCATGGCATGAACACCAGGAAATATTGCATATACTAAGGTCAGAAAGTCCCTGCGCTCTTTTTTTTTCGTTTGCAGTTTAAGCCAATTTAGCAGGCTTTTCATACTGTTTCTGGATAGGGCTCATTAGTACCCATCAGTGCAGCTTTATCAGTGCAACCTCATCGATGCTCATCAGAGCAGCCTCATCAGTGCCCATCAGCGCAGCCTCATCAGCACACATCAGAGCAGCCTCATCAGTGCCCATCACTGCAACCTCATCAGCGCACATCAGAGCAGCCTCATCAGTGCCCATCAGCGCAGCCTCATCAGCGCACATCAGCGCACATCAGCGCAGCCTCATCAGCGCACATCAGAGCAGCCTCATCAATGCCCATCACTGCAACCTCATCAGCGCCCATCAGAGTAGCCTCATCACTGCCCATCACTGCAACCTCATCAGTGCCCATCAGAGCAGCCTCATCAGTGCCCATCAGCGCAGCCTCATCAGCGCACATCAGAGCAGCCTCATCAATGCCCATCACTGCAACCTCATCAGCGCCCATCAGAGTAGCCTCATCAGTACCCATCACTGCAACCTCATCAGTGCCCATCAGAGCAGCCTCATCAGTGCCCATCAGCGCAGCCTCATCAGCGCACATCAGAGCAGCCTCATCAGTGCCCATCACTGCAACCTCATCAGTGCCCATCAGAGTAGCCTCATCAGTGCCCATCACTGCAACCTCATCAGTGCCAATCAGTGCAGCCTCATCAGTGCCCATCAGAGCAGCCTCATCAATGCCCATCACAGCGGCCTTATTATCCATCACTGCAACCTCATCAGTGCCCATCAGTGCAGCCTTATCAGTGCCTATCAGAGCAGCCTCATCAATGCCCATCACAGCGGCCTCATCAGTATCCATCACTGCAACCTCATCAGTGCCCATCAGTGCAGCCTTATCAGTGCCTATCAGAGCAGCCTCATCAATGCCCATCAGAGCGGCCTCATCAGTATCCATCACTGCAACCTCATCAGTGCTCATCAGTGCAGCCTTATTAATGTCCATCAGAGCAGCCTCATCAGTGCCCATCAGAGCCGCCTCATCAGTGCCCATCTCTGTAACCTCATCAGTGCCCATCAGTGCAGCCTTATCAGTGCCCATCACTGCGACCTCATTAGTGCCCATCAGTGCAGCCTTATCAGTGCCCATCAGAGCAGCCTCATCAGCGTACATCAGGGAAGAAGAAAAATGACATATTTGCAAAGTTTTATAACAGAAACTAAGAAAACAAATGTCCGTCTTTTTTCATTTTGATTATATGCCACCAAAAGAAAGCTCTATCTGTCTCCAAAAATTGTAAAAATGTAATATGGGTACAGTGTTGCATGTCTGCGCAATTGTCGTTCAAAGTGTGAAAATTGGTCTGGGCAGGAAGGAGATGAAAGTGCCCAGTATTGAAGTGGTTAAAGGGGTTGTGGCAGGGAAACGTAGGTATTTACAGTCTTCCTTTCTTTCAATTTTCAAAATGCAAAGTGAGTGAACAGAATAAACCTCAAAATCACATCAATATTTGGTGTGACTACCCTTTGGCTTCAAACCAGCATTGATTCATTTCATCAAGCTCTTTTGAAGAAGCACAAAGAAATGGGCAATGTTGAGGACTATAGACGCAGTGGTCGGCCAAGGAAACTTAATGCAGCAGATGAAAGACACATCATGCTTACTTTCCTTCATCATCGGAAGATGTCCAGCAGTGCCATCAGCACAGAACTGCTGGAAACCAGTGGGACTCGGATACACCCTTCTACTGTCCAGAGAAGTCTGGTCAGAAGTGGCTTTCATGGAAGAATTGCAGCCAAAAAGTGACGTGAAAACAAGGCTAAGCGACTCGACTATGTGTGAAAACATAGGAACTGGGCTGCAGAAAAATGGCAGCAGGTGTTCTAGAATGATAAATCAAAATTTGAAATGTTTGTCTGTAGCACAAGGCAGTTTGTTCACGAAGGGCTGGAGAACGGTACAATGATGAGTGTCTGCAGGCAACAGTGAAGCATGGTGGTGGTTCTTTGCACGTTTGGGGCTGCATTTCTGCAAATGGAGTTGGAGATTTGGTCAGGATCAATGGTGTCCTCAATGCTGAGAAATACAAACAGATATTTATCCATCATGCCATACCTCCAGGGAGGTGTGTAATAGGCCCCAACTTTATTCTGCAGGAGGACAATGACCACAAACATACAGCCAATATCATTAAGAACTATCTTCAGTATAAAGAAAAAACAAGGAGTCCTGGAAGTGATGGTTTGGCCCCCCACAGAGCCCTGATCTCAACATCATAAAGTCTATCTGGAATTACATGATGATACAGAAGTATTTGAGGCAGCCTACATCCAACGAATATCTGTGGTTAGTTTTCCAAGGTGTTTGGAACAATCTACCTACTGAGTTCCTTCAAAAACTGGGTCCAAGTGTGTCTAAAAGAATTGATGCTGTTTTGAAGGCAAAGGGTGGTCACACCAAATATTGATTTGATTTGGATTTCTCTTTTGTTCATTTACTTTCCATTGAATTAATTGATAAAAAAAAACTATTACCATTTCTAAAACTAAAACTTTTACACAGTACTGGATATGGGAAGTGCTATGTAAATTGTTGTCAAAAAGAGCAAACCTCCTATTTGCCATGAAAGGTTTGCTGTATTACTTTTCTTGCCTAGGCACAAAGGTTTAGAAAGCAGAATAAATATAACAAAAACTAAAACTGATAGCTGACCTTCTTTTGAAAATACTAGCAACCAGGATGTCATGCTCATCCACTGGCTTCAATACATTCAACATTTTTGGCGTAGAGGCAGTCCGCCTATCAGAACACAATAGCTCAGTGAGGAGATCACTGCACTAACATCGGATTGTTAGTAGAGGATCTTCTCCTGAGCTCTACAGGTGTTTCCTTCAGGGAGGGTGCATGTGATCAGCACAGGGCCAATCAGCACTGCCCAGACCGAGGTCAGGGGTTCTGCATCCTTCTAGAGCAGAATGAAAACTCCTCCTACAAGCTTTAACCAGTGTTCTGCTGGACACTGATAGAAGTCACAAGACTGCTCTAAATGCTGATGAGAAAAGGTATTTAGCAGTTTATATTCACTAAAATAATTGCATTTCCATGTTGTGTGTACTGTGGGAGACCAGATATAGTGAATGCAGGGTCCTGGGTTTAGTAACACTTTAAGAGGCTCAGCATGACAACAAGGAGGCTAGAATTTGCAGGAAAGGTCAACAATGATAGCTTCTCCTTAAGAACTGTTGAGATAAGATATCTTGTGATGTCTTTAGCTCAACAGTTGTCTTATCTCACCGACTTGGGTTTCCTTATGAAATGCAGCAGTAAAATCACAACCTTTGTAAAGAGCAAATATGGCTGCCCCAAGTATATATGTAATAACTAAGTATTAGCTCAGGTGTGTTTGGACCCTGGTTCTGATCCTTTTTTGTATACATACAACTTACACATGTATACATACATGCTTTCTATACATACAACTGCCATTTAAAATTGACGGGGTGCCATGACAGTTTCTGGGTAGGATAGCTCAGGAGGGTTCAGACTAGGGGCTCTGAAGAAGGTTTCATACTAGGGGCTCAGGTGGATTCAGACTAGGGGCTCAGGTGGGTTCAGATAAGGGGCTTTCAGGAGGGTTCAGACTAGGGGCTCTGGAGGGTTCAGACTAGGGGCTCAGGTGGGTTCACAGACTAGGGGCTCAGGAGGGTTCAGGGGGCTCAGACTAGGGGGCTCAGGTGGGTTCAGATAAGGGGCTCAAGAGGGTTCAGACTAGGGGCTCTGGAGGGCTCATACTAGGGGCTCAGGTGGATTCAGACAAGGGGCTCAGGAGGGTTCAGACAAGGGGCTCAGGAGGGTTCAGACTAGGGGCTCAGGTGCATTCAGACTAGGGGCTCAGGAGGGTTCAGACTAGGGCCTCAGGTGGATTCAGACTAGGGGCTCAGGAGGGTTCAGACTAGGGGCTCAGGAGGGTTCAGACTAGGGGCTCTGGAGGGCTCATACTAGGGGCTCAGGTGGATTCAGACTAGGGGCTCAGGAGGGTTCAGACAAGGGGCTCAGGAGGGTTCATACTAGGGGCTCAGGAGGTATTAATGCCTGCCGAACACGGCCCATTCAAGTAAACGGGGGATTCCCATAGCTGTATTCAATGCATGCAGGTGCACGGTGCTGCTGTGGGGTTTAAGCAGGTGGTGAGGAGGTGATATAACAGCTCCTCATTGCCTGTCAAATAACTTCTGAAAAGCATTACGAACGTGGATTGCTCTTCAGAGGGCACACCTGTACCTGTAAATGAGCCCTAAGTCGATTCAGCCATTCCAGTTTTTCTGTCAATTCAGCAGGGAACTTCGGGGCTGCGGAGTAAACCTAAAGGTCTGCAGCAAATACAAAAAAACTTCCCTGGGCCCCATCTACTTAGCTAGGAGAAGGAACAGGACTATTTAGGCTACATTCACACACCGGGGATTAGAGCGGGTAGATGCTGCTGCAGGCCCCCTTCATTGTAATGACAGATCAGCCGACAGCAAACACAGCTATTCACAGCTCTCTGCATAGCCAGCCTTTAATTGCAGTGATCGCTGCTGGATGAACACAAAGTGCATTCAGTAATCAATGGCTGTGCAGAGAGCCGCGAATAGCTGTGGCCGGCGGTGACCTGTCATTACAGTGAACGGTGCCAGCAGCCGCACCCGTTAAGAACCGCAACAGAAACCTCCGATTCCTGTTACTACTATAAGAAAAAAAAAATATTTTTTTTGGTAAAAAAAAGTCCAAAAAAAAGATTGCGGCACCAACTCTTAGTCCTCATGCACACGGGACATTTTAATAACGCTGGTAACATTAGCTGTGTAAAGTCACGTTAAAAACTTGAGTTGTTCAGCTTTTTTTAGTGTTTTTGCATTAGCGTTTAGCGGCATTTTTTTCCACGTTTGCGTTTTTAACATTTGTTTTTTCCAGAAAAAAATAATGATTTTTGGTCCAAAAATGCTGGTTTGCGGTGCTTTGCCGTCAGGGGCGGACTGACCATTTGGAAACTCGGGCACTGCCCGAGGGCCCGGGGTCAGTAGGGGGCCCCATGAGATGCCCCTGGTACCTTTTTCATAGGCTTTTTTGAGTTTGGGCAAGGACACAGGGACCCCATAATCCCCTATTGCCCGGGGGCCCCATGAGTTGTCAGTCTGCCCCTGTTTGCCGTGTTTTTCCGCGTTTTGCAGCGTTAGAGTGTTTGGACAGCTAAAAAACTCCTCTAGAAACCCACTAGTTCTGGGTTTTTTTTCCAGCCAAAAACGTACCAACCAAAAAACGTTGATTCCAGTCTATGTGTGCATGGACACATAGGATAACATGCTGGGGGGGTTACTAGCTGTAGAAAAAAAACGTAAAAAGCCAAAAAAAGCCACTGTAAAAACGTCCCGTGTGCATGAGGACTTTATATTTATGGGACAACATAACGTAACATTAGCTGTGTAAAGTCACGTTAAAAACTTGAGTTGTTCAGCTTTTTTTTAGCGTTTTTGCATTAGCGTTTAGCGGTATTTTCCCACGTTTGCGTTTTTAACATTTTTTTACCAGTAAATAACAATTTTTTTTTGGTCCAAAAACGCCGGTTTGCGGTGGTTTACCGTGTTTTTCCGCGATTTGCAGCGTTAGAGCGTTTGACAGCTAAAAAACTCCTCTAGAAAGCCACTAGTCCTGGGTTTTTTTTTCTAGCCAAAAAACGTCCCTGCCAAAAAACGTTGATTTCAGTCTATGTGTGCATGGACACATAGGATAACATGCTGGGGGTTACTAGCTGTAGAAAAAAACATCAAAAAGCCAAAAACAGCCGCTGTAAAAACGTCCAGTGTGCATGAGGACTTAATATTTATGGGACAACATAACGTAACATTAGCTGTGTAAAGACATGTTAAAAACTTGCGTTTTCCTGCGTTTTTCCGTATTCGCGTTTTTAGCTATTTTTTTTTACCAAAAAAAGTTTATTTTTGGCCAAAAAAAAAGTCCAAAAATGCCGGTTCGTGGCATTTTACCACGTTTTACCTAGTTTTTTCAGCGTTAGAGCATTTTTACAGCTAAAAAACTCCTCTAGTAACCCACTAGTCCTATGATTTTTTTTTTCAGCCAAAAAAC